AAAAATTAGCCGGGCATGGTGGTGCATGCCTGTAGTTCCAGCTACTTGGAAGACTGAGGTAGAAGGATCACCTGAGCCCAGCAGGTCAAGGCTGCAGTGGCCAGAAGCATGCCACTGCCCTCCAGCCTGGATGACAGAATGAGACTTCAACTCAAAAAAAAAAAAAGAAAACTACTTTGAAGTCAGTAGATTGGAGATACTGCTAAAGGGGTATCTCTTAATAATTTTACCCCAAAATGTTACATATCCTTGTTAATGTTAATTTTACAATGACTGAGAAAGCTTAAGTTAACCTGTTGGGAAAATGTGTTAATGGCATGGTTTTATGGCCTGGATACGCTTTGTCATTTGTGAGCTTTCAGTTGTTTATACACTGTGCATGTTCAAATATGTCTGTCATTTAACTGATACAAAAACAAGTGCATGTTTAACTGCTAATTTGCAGCTGTTAAACTGAACTTATGGTAGTCGACAAACCAGATAGAAACAAAAATGTCATACTCCTCTTTTGTGTCTTGGTGTCTTTGTCTCAAGTGCTTAAGCACTGCCCCTGCTTCTGTTTGTTGAATTGAATTTAATATTTTAGATAGTTTTCATGGGTAATGAGTTTCTGTCTCTCAGGTTACTAAATTTAGTTTTTTAATTTAGCCATTTGAAATGTAGTCTTCTGATAATGATGGTGTTTGAATTTGCAATTTTAAAAAACCTGCTTATCAAGGAAGCCAAAGATAATATCTTATGGGGGTTGACTAAGGTAGTCTTCAGGATGTCACCAAGGGACACTGCAGTGGCAAGATGACTTGCTAAGGTTTCCAGTACTGAGACTTAGTTTAATGCATTCTCCTCCTAGTGGGATGAAGTGCCTTTCTCTAGCCCTAGTTTAGGAATGAATTTTTATTTGTTCTAGGCTGCTCTTGACGTATGCAAAGCATTTTTACAGGAAGATAAAGGCGAGGGAGTCATTATGGTGACAGATCCTCCTTTTGGTGGCTTGGTTGAACCTCTGGCTGTTACATTCAGGAAGTTAATTGCTATGTGGAAAGAAGGTCAAAGCCAAGGTATGTAATCTATTACTTATTGCAAAATAAACACGTATCTATGTATCTACTTCCTGTCAAATATTAGCTGAGCTTAGTGAATCAGAGCACTGATAGAATATATAGGTCTTGGTTTCTTCTCTTTTAAAAACAGGCTTATTTGATGATGTGGCACTCTTTGTTATCATGATACACTTAGTATTATTCTAGTCATGTATTTTTAAAATGGCTTGTTAGGTAAGATACTTGGTTTTGGTGGGGATAATAGAACATTATGAAGAACAGCAGTAAACGGCTGTCAGTGATTCAATACACATTTACTGAGTGGCTACTATGTACCAGGTACTATTTAGTACTAGGAACAGATTAGTGAACAAAGTGACATACATCTCTGCCCTGTGAACCTTACATTCCCTGTTCCTAAAGTCTTGCCCAGAACTCAAAGAGGGCACCCAACCTCAGCCCAGAACTCTAAACTTTGTCAGGATTTGATTGTAGAGGCTAATAGCAGTCATCAGTGAGACAGGATTCCATTCCCAGTGCTAGAGGCTGGCTGGAGGTTAGTATTCAGTTTCAAGTGGCTTAGTGCTCTGTAGTTGGTGTCAACAAAGAAAATTAAAAAAAAAAATAATAAAGTAGTTTAAGACTTCAAATTACTTAATATAATTTTTTACTTAATTGGTACACTAATTTTTTAGATAAAGTTTCTAGTTTGAAAGCTAATAATTTTAAGAGTGTCATGAATTGTGTGACCAAGCATCTCCATTGATGGTGCTACATAAATTGTGTGCTTTGGGGACAGAATGTAAATTAAATTTAAAATATGACTCATATTGTTAAGTATTTCACTTATCTGCTGTTCTTAAGCCCACCAGTCAGAGTGGATAAAATCAATGTTATTGGGAAAGCAATAAAGCGCTTTGTGGACGTGAGTTCCTGTTGTGCCATTTATTAGCTGCATGAAGTTGATACTTGTGATTTGTTTCCCCATCTGTAAAATGGGATTTGTAATATTTAACTCTAGGGGTTATCACAAGGAGACACTATATAGAAAGTACCTGGAATAATACTTAGCCTCTTCTAGGTGATCTGTAAGTAATAACAGAGTTCTCTATCTTTCATAAAAACTAATTTTGATAGATTGCCTTTAAGAATCTTTCATGATTCAGAAAAGATTGATTCATCCCTGAAAACCGCAATAATGAGGTATGACAGAGCTAGGGTTCAGACCCAAGACCTTCTGCCTTCTAGCCCTGGTTCCTTCTGCTACATCACGACTACCTTCATGCTTCCAAGTGGTCCTCCCTTTTTATGTTCCACTTTTTAGGTTATATCTTTGCCTTTACCTAGACAATAGTAAGATATGTATATGTAGACATATGAGGGGGGATCCAAAAAACCCAGCATTATTTTTTGGAGGATGGGCCTCTTGTAGTAGAGGCATCCCCCTGCTGGGTCAGTGTTCTAGGAACCCGTTGGCATCAGTTTACCAGTTGGTGATGTTGTGCGAGGCTGCATTCAGCTTCAGTGAGTTTTATTTTGGAGAGTCTTTCAACGCGTTTGCCTGTTTTGTGATGGGTGATTTATGAGTGCACCTGCCCACACTGCACGTTCATCAGCAGTTTTTGACCAAAAATGGCATGGCCCCTGTGCTCCACCCGCCTTCTCCCCCGATCTTGCCCCGAGTGACTTTTTTTGTTTCCCCTGGTGAAAAAAGTTCTCAAAGGGAAATTTTTTGCCAGTGTGGAAGAGATGAAACAAAAAGCAGCAGAAACACTGAAGGGAATCAACATCGACAAGTTCAGAAACTGTTTTGAGCAGTGGAAAAAGCAACTCGATAGGTATATTGCATTAAACAGAGAGTACTTTGAAGATGACTGAAGTTTAAACATGAAGAATAAATGCACAATTTTTCTGGGTGTTTGGGGGTCCCCCCTCACACATGTAATACATTTTACATACTCTTTGTAGTTGTGTTTAAATATAAAAGTATTTCTACTAACCTTTGGAAAAGCTCAGGTTGTAAATTGCACTCTGGTAAACCTCTCTTCTTGTTTGAGATTTAAGTGTGTTAAATGATTGCGATTTCTCCTATACCAGAAATTTTTCCATTATGGTTTTCTGTTTATTCTTTAATTCATTTTCTTATTTCTTGTCCCTCCCCCTTTTTGTGATCCATTAGATGACAGTCACAGAGAACTGCCCATTTTCTGGATTTTCCCCTATTTTTTTGAATCCCGAATTTGTCAGTTTTTTCCAAGCTTCTGCATGTTGGATTACCAGGTATTGTAAATATTCTTTTTTCTGACATGGTTGGGGAATGGTTATTCTGCTTAAATAAATATTTTGATAGGACTATCCATTGATTTTGGTAAATTAAAATACTATGAGCTGTATTAAATGCTAAAATTATGCCATATATATTTTAGTCCAGCGCTTCCTGTAGTCCCTAGGGTGCTTGGCGAAAACACAGATTCTTGAGTACCAGAGTAAACCTGCTGAATCAGAATTAGAGGGTAGAGCTCCCCCCAAAATATTTGCCAAGCTTCCCAGGTGATGCTGAAGTGCAGTGGGTATTAGATGAGCTGACCTTCGTCTTTTATCACTGAGGATTATGCAGCCCCAGGATCATCATCATGAACATCGATGTGCTCTGTTCAGAGGCTGCAGAAAAGTAGGTCACTCTTTCTGGGTGGTGGAATGCCATGTACATTCCACGGTGTCGCTCATAGTATGCCGGGATTGTCAGGGGAGGTAGAGCTGGCTGTGTGTGAGCAGTGTGCTGACTGGAGAGAGTAGGCCTCCACAGCTACGCCTGTGATTCCCATGCTGAGATGAGAGTGGGGTCGTGTTCGCAGTGGCACCACCCTGCACCCTATCCTTATGTTCCTTCTTTTGCTTGAATGTCTACTCCTGTGTTCGTTTTCTGGGGTTTGAAGTAATGCATGTTGTTGCCATCACTTTGTGTGGGCATCAAGCAAGTGGTACTGCTACCTCTCTCTGTGTTGACATTTTTTTTCTATTTGAGTTTTCTGAATACTCAGCCTCTGCTTCAGGCTTTTCAGCCCTTCACTGTTTTAACTATCAGTGTCTTCACTAGCTGTTGCAAGCTAGCACTTGGTTCTCATCTTCCTAGTCTTGGAGGCCTATACCATTATGAAAACTATTTTGAAGTTCTGAAAGAAACAGTATTACCAAGAAATGAGAGGACAGACCCTACCTGTGATTCCAGGCAAACAGCACGTATTATAATTTCAAAGTATTCCCTTCTAATTTTTTAAAAGCACTTTTATATGTTTGTCATCATAGAAGACAATTTTGAATTCTGCTTTTTTCACTGTCTTGTAAGTGTACATTTTTAAATGCAGCTACATAATCTTTATGTAACTTTAAATTATTTCCCTAACAGGCTGTGGTGCCGTTTCCTTCATTTTGGACTATAGGTTGTTTCTCCCTATAAGGCACTATAAATAACACTGTTATAATCATCTTGTATGCATATAATTTTTCCATATTTTACATAACTTTCTTAAAATAGATTTTCAAAACAGAGATCACCTTTTCAAATTTATTGGACATTTGGGTAATTGGCTATTGAGCCAATTATCAGGCTCGTTTCCAAAACTGTGGAGCACTAGCCATTTTAACCTGATGTCTCGATCTCTGCTTCAGGCAGAATCCACATCACAAGTCTTCTCAGAGCTGGTTTACTCTCCTTTCAGGGCATCTGTTTTCTGTATCTTGTCTGAGTGATGCCCCTGGTATTGACATTGGCAGTGCAAAGACAGCTGGCATATCCTGAAGATGTTAACTAAGTAAATGAGTTCTTGTCAGCAGCTTTGGCAATGAAGAATTGTCTAGTGCAGTGCTTGGCACACAGCAGTTGCCCTATTACGTCAAATGAATAATTGAGTGAAAAAGCATGAACTCTGGAGTCAGAGATCTGGGTTTTAATCCTGGTTCTGCCACTTGCTTATCCTCTTTGAAGTTCATCTTACCTGTTAAATGAGGATAGCAATAATATGTCTGTCTCTTCAGGTTTAAAGAATTTTACGAGGTGATGCATGAAAAGGCTTAGCCCAGTCCTTGACACCTAGCAAGTGTAGAGTTTAGGCTGTTGCTTCTGGATTGCCACCATCACTGTCATTGTCATCATTCAGATAGTCCCAAGGTAGGGGTAAAATTCTTCCTTGGGGTGTGTGTGTGTGTGTGTGTGTGTGTGTGTGTGTGTGTGTGTGTGTCATTAAAATTGCATGGGCCAGACGTGGTGGCTTACACCTGTAATCCCAGCACTTTTGGAGGTCGAGGCAGGAAGATTGCTTGATCCCAGGAGGCAAGCTTAGGAAATATAGTGAGAACTTGTCTCCTACAAAAACCAAAATTAGCTGGGCGTGGTAGTGCACCTGTAATCCCAGTTACTGGGGAGGCTGAGGCAAGAAGATTGCTTGAGCCCAGGACTTTGAGGCTGCAGTGAGCCTTGACCATGCCACTGTACTCCAGCCTGGGTGACAGAGTGAGACTCCACCTCAGAAAAAAAAAAATTGTGTGACACAAGGTCTCTCAGAAGACTGTTGCATTCGGTTTAGAAAAGAATTGTCATCATGGGCAAGAATTTGGAGTAGTGGAGGGCAGAAGGCAGCTTGAGAGAACAGTGGATGCGAGAGGTTAATGTGAAACAACCAGCCATGTGGGCTGCCTGTGCTACCAGGAAAGGACTTTGGGAAATACTGGGGTTATAGTTTTACGAAACACTTGCAAGGTCCAAGCTTATGGGAAAAGGTACTGACTAGGTCATGTGTGTCTGACAGGCTGTAAAGCAACCTTTTCAATAAAGAGAAAGCCAACCTTTGCAAAGAAAAATGAGAATAAAATCTGTAAAATGCAACAAGCCTAAGTTTTTGCTGATTCCTAGTAAAGTGAAGAACAGCACTGCCCATTATATGCTCATGTTGGAGAAAGCCATGTCTCCTCCTGTGTTTATAAGCCTTATTTGAGGTACTTCCCCTTTAATGGTTTTTCTATTTTTTAATTTTTGAAAATTTCTCCGGACCCATTATTCTTCCTCCTTTCTGAGCATTTTGCATTCTTTTCTTTCTTTTGTTACTTTAACTTTGTTTTATGGTGGTTTTTTTTCTTTTACATTAGCCTTCATCAAATAAAAAATCTGAGTTTCCTCTCCTCCTCCACAGATATTTTCCCATAGACCTTGATTAGGTTTTTTTTTTGACATCACCTAAGATGCTTATAAGCCCCTAAACCACAATGCAGTAAGAAAACCCAAATCACTGAATTTCTTTTTTGGAAGTACTTTTCAGGTAAGAAGAGGAAGGCAGACATGCTGCACATCTTCATAAAACATAAATTATATAAACTCTTCAGTGATCAAGCACTCAATGTGTCCAGAGTAAAATAGTTTTCAAAGACCTTGAAAACCAAAAGTTCCAGCCAGGCTCAGTGGCTCAGTCTGTAATCCCACGCCTTGGGAGGCTGAGGTGAGTGGATTGTCTGAGCCCGCGGGTTCGAGACCCGCCTGGGCAGGCGAGACCTCATCTCTACAATAAATCAAAAAATCAGCCGGGCGTGGTAGCACACGCCTGTAGTTCCAGCTACTTGGAAGACTGAGGCGGAAGGATCACTGGAGCCCAGCAGGTCGAGGCTGTGGTGGCCAGAAGCGTGCCACTGAACTCCAGTCTGGGCGACAGAGTGAGATTCCAACTCAAAAAGAAAAAGAAAAGAAAACCAAGAGTTCCATTAAGGACAGATTAGAAAGAATGGTGTGTAGCTAGGCGTGGTGGCGTGTGTCTGTAATTCCAGCTACTTGGAAGGCTGAGGCAGAAGGATTATCTAAGCCCAGCAGGTCGAGGCAGCGGTGGCCGTGAGCATGCCACTGCACTCTAGCCTGGGCAACAAGAGTGAGACTCCAACTCAAAAAAAAAAAGGAAGGAAGGATGTGAGGATGAAAAGAAATTCTGTGATTGAGAGTCAGAAGAAGTCAGAGTCCTAGCACTGCCTTTTGGAGGCTAGTTAATCTTGAGGGAAGTCACCTTATCTCTCCAGGTCTCTGTTTCTGTTTCCTTACCTATGAAGTAAAATGATTGAACCAGAAAAGAGATAACAGATAAGTTTTACTTTTGGTGCTAAACCCGACAAATTGTTAGTGATTTGCTGGAGAATTGTTGAGAATACCAGACTTGGTGGCAGAGAGTAACATGATCAGTATGTCTGCCATGGGGGAGTGGGGTCAGGGAGTGGTGGCCTTTATGTTCTGAATTTGCCATATCTGAATTAGATGATCTCACATCCCTTCCACATTCGACCTTCTGTGTTCTCTTGTTTCTACTCAATATGAGACACTTGTCTGGAGTGTTAAAAGCAGAGCTCTTTGCTTTTGTCAAAGCTATCCTCTTTTAAAGTTAGCCTGTATAAGACACTGTTTTTCAAGATTAGTTTCGCTGTCAGAAACGAAGATATTTTGACAGGAATTTCTGGGAAATTATTGTAAATTACAAGATGGCTACCAAAATTCTTGAAATTCTATTTCTAGTAAACATAAAACGTTTAATGGGTTTGGAGTGAAAAGGGAAAAAGAAACATATTATGTTTATATATATATATATAAAGATACACACACACATATATAATTTACATAAGAGGTTACATGGGATTTGGGGGCTGTGACTAAAAGACCTTATTGCTGTGGTCTAGAAACTGGTTGATAGAGCAGAAGAGTATACTTGGGACCTCCTGTGTACACTGAACTTCAGTGTAACACAATCCTTTGGGAGTTATGGAAATAAAAGTACTCTATCTTATTTAATCTTTGTTTCCTGGTTTGATAACCTGGAACATAGTAGGCACAAAATAAATGTTGACTTGAATTTCTTGGTCTCTCTTTAGCTAGTTTCGGTCTCATGTTACAGAAGACATTTGCGTATAGATAAAATTAAAAGTTAGGAATTGCAGAGATTCTGTGCTTTCCCTCATTTCTATACAGTACTTCATCACATTAATCAGTTCCATGGGAGAAATTTTCCATTTGAAAATGCTTCTCATCATCATTGTGAGTGAAATGTCAGGGATAATGATGGGAAAATGGTGTATCAGCTCTACTACTAGTGATATGCAATTTGCAAAATTGTGTTTGCTTTACAGCACTTCCATAGGAGGTTTATTTGTGTGGATGAAGCCATGAAATATGGATGTATGTTAGAGGTACATTAATTTACCCTAGCAGCATGTATTTTACATACCATATGTTTATAGTTAATTAGTATAACAAACCCACATTTAAAAATAATAATAATCTCAATTAGGTTATGCAAAATCAAGCCATCAACCACCTTCCTGACATATATATTCTCTGACTCCTTGGGTAACCATAAAGAAATTATTCTTTTTTTCTCTTCTCCATCTGCGATCTATTATTGTGCATAAAATATGCCGTGTACTAGAAATCTTTCTAAAATATTGTTTTCCAACATTTGAAAATCTTCATAAGATTCTCTTGGGGAGAATTCTTTTTCTTGTTCAAAATATTTTTGTTAAATTTAATAAGGTACCATATATTTATTGAGTATACAAAGGAGTGCATTAGGGGAAAAACTATGAATTTAAATCATTTAAAAGAAAACTACTTAATGTACTACTTTGATTTTGTAGTGAAATCTATTTTTGTATCTTAATCTCTTAGGTAACATATATTCCTAGAATTTTTTTTTTTTTTTTTTTTGAGTCAGAGTCTGACTCTGTTACCCTGGCTGGAATGCAGTGGCATGCTCACAGCCACCACAGCCTCAACCTGCTGGGCTCAGGTTATCCTTCTGCTTCAGCCTTCCAAGTAGCTGGAACTACAGGCATGTGTCACTACACCCGGCTAATTTTTTGATTTATTGTAGAGATGAGGTCTCACCAAGTTGCCCAGGCTGGTCTCAAACCCCTGGATTCAGGCAGTCCTCTCACCTCAGCCTCCCAAAACGTTGGGATTACAGGCTTAAGCCACAGTGCCCAGCCAATTCCTAGAATTTTAAAAGAAACAGAAGGTTGGAAAGAAACGGGTAACCAAGAGCGACTTTCCAAGTCATTATCCTCTCCACTCAGTTCATGAGCAGTGTCATCCAGCTTCACCTGACTGCTTCCAGTGAGCAGAGGCCCACAGCCTTACGTGGCATCGCAATTTATTTAATAGCTCTAATCATTAGAAATTTTTCTCATATTGAGATAAAATATGCTCCCCATTCACTTCCAACCATTGGCCCTCATTCTGTTCTCTGAAGCAGTAAAGGTTAGGTCCAATTTCTATTCCATATGACACACCTTCAGTTATAAAACAGCTATCAGATCCTCCCAGTCTTCTTTTTTCTGAATAAACACCACCAGTTTGTTAAACTATAAATTTTGTTCCTTCCCATTATTTTCAATAAAAATGGACAGGCTTTATCAACATCTCTCTTAAAATGTAGTGACTGAACACAGGACTTCAAATGTAATGTGACTTCACACTCCGGTTGTTATGATTACTGACTTTTGAATAGACCAGCTGTGAGCCCTTGCCAGCCTTCCCACAGTTATGCTGGACGGCGGATGTACTACATTGACAGCTGCCAGAAACCCCTAAGGGTTTGTCCACACTGTCCCTTGGCTCTCCTCATCCTGTATTTAGTTCTTCCCATGCCGAAGTATGGCGTTAAACTAGGCAGGACCAGAGTCTGAGCCCAGGAACAAGACCTCTCTTTGCCTTGTTATCAATTCCTTACATTTTTGGGATTCGCTTATTAAACAGCTTATTCAGTAGCTAGCTTGCAAGCCAATTCTGTCATGAGTTCTTAAGTGTTTTCTTGTTTAGAATAGAAATAGTTCATTACAGCTTATTTGAATGTTGGGCTTAACTGTACTGACCTCATAAAAACCTCATGGTATTATGGGTAATCTAGAGCATGGTTCTCAAACTTCTGCATGCCAGATTGCTGGGCCCCACGCCCAGAGTTTCTGATTTATTAGGTACTAGGTGAAGTGAGGATTTGCATTTCTAACAATATCCCATGGGATGCTAATATTGCTGATCCAGATAACAACCACATTTTGAGACTTACTGATACACAGAAAGAAGGATTTAGTGGCCATGTGGATTGATAGCAGCTTAAACAGAAGTTGAGAATGTGTGAGGATCATAGGTTGCAGGAAGAGATTGAAGAAGAAGCTAACAGAAAGCATGGTTGTTAGCTTCAGTGTGCTTTCAGGGTAATATGCTGAAGCTTAGAGTTTAGTTAGTGATCTTCATGAGAGAGAGAAATGTTTGAAATAGTCACTGTGGAGAGAACAAGTATAGCCGTGAACCTCTCTCTTCGTCTCCCTTTTTCTACCTTATGCCAGGCCTGACCTAAGTATTTTACACACATTATCTCATTTAACCTTCACAACAACTTGAAAGTAAATATCAGTAACCTCCTTTCACAGATGAAAAATACAACTAACCTAAGGTCACATCACAGATAAGTGGCCCTAAACCTGTACTTGGCCAAAATGAGAGAGAATAAACAGTGGATGGGGGAGGGCCCAACTGAGGCTGCACTTAGCCTTGGTGAGCTGGAAACTGACATATGTTGAACTTCACCCATAAAAATGAGAAGCCCCATGAGGATACATCTTCCAGGCAGAATTTTTTAATACCCAAAGCTAAATTCTTAGTTACATAATGACTTTCTTGTAAAGCCTGTTGTAGTGGATACAGGATCAGAGTTGTTTCTCAAATACTAGACAACGTGAGTTTTCCATAACACATTTTACCTTTTTTATAAAGAAATTTCACTGCTACAGAGGCCTCTCTGAGACTGTTGGTTAGTAAGCAAACTCTTGCTGTTAGGAATTTCTTATTAAATTCTTTGGTTAACTCTTATCTTGGCATCAGCTTGTTCATTTACTGGTCAAAGTATCTTAATGTTGACTCATTTGAGTAATTATTTTTTTTTTTGCTTAAATTTTTATTAACTTTCTAGGTAGACTATGATAATCATGCACTTTATAAACATGGAAAGACAGGTCGAAAACAGTCTCCTGTGCGTATCTTCACCAATATTCCACCCAACAAAATAATCCTTCCATCTGAAGAAGGGTACCGGTAAGATCACATGGGACTTTAAAATACACAAGTCACAGAAAGTAAAATTACGTATATCCAGGCTGGGCATAGTGGCTCACTACTGTAATCCCAGCACTTTGGGAGGCTGAGGTCGGAGGATTGCTTGAGCCCAGGAGTTTGAGACCAGCCTAGGCAATATAGCAAGACCTTGTCTCTACAAAAAATAAAAAAATTAGCTGGGTGTGGTGGCATGCCTGTACTGCAGTCTCAGCTACTTGGAGGCTGAGGCAGAAGTATCTCTTGAGCCTGGGAGGTCGAGGCTGTGGTGAGGTATGATCATGCCATTGCACTCCAACCAGGGTGACAGTGAAACCAACTCAAAAAAATAAAAATAATAATAATAGTAAAGTTACACATATGTAGCAGTAAAGTGCTTTCAATATTGAATCATGTAGTTCTTCTGTTACTTTTAAATTAGGTCCATAATTTCATATTGAATTGAATTTGGATATCAGTCTTTATATGTGTGCCTTGTAAGCTTTTATCTACTACTCTGTGAATCTCAGTCAGTTTATGCAGCTGATGTCCCTTTCTGTTCTTTACTTTTGCAGATTTTGTCCTCTGTGCCAACGATTTATTTCTCTAGAGAACCAGCACTGTGAACACTGTAATTCCTGCACATCTAAGGTATAGTTTTCTTATAGAATGTATTTTTATTTGACATACTGGTTTTATTTTATTTTACCAGCTTCATTGCTTTTTAAATGTTATTTTCTTGCTGTTAGGACTTGTATTAATGTTTATTACCACCTATTAATTATACTTTAACACATTATTTTAATCATAGAGTACAGCAAGCTTTTAAAAATACTTAATTACCTCCATCATCACCAACAATTCTTTGAATTCATACGATACGACTGTATGGCTGCTAAACTTATAAGCGTTTCGAATAAGGCTCTAAGTGAGTGCTAAACTTATATGCATGTTGAGGGCAAAATTGCAGTGTTTCAAACAAGGCATGGAGCTATTGGATACCATCACCATTCTGATGAAATAATAATTAAAAACACGTGCTGTGCACTTTTAACGTGCCAGGCCCTTTCCTAGGAGCTTAACGTCAGTTAACTCATTGAATCCTCACAATGGTCTTATTAGGTAGATACAGTTACTCCCTGCTTTTTACAGATGAGAAAGGACCACAAGAAATACTCCTGTGTATTTATTTATTTAGCTATTTTTTTAATAGGCTTGTTTTTTAGCAGTTTTAGGTTCACAGAAAAATTGAGAAGGCACAGGGATTTCTCACAGGCTCCCTTCCCCTGCACATGCACTGCCTCCCCTGTGGTCAGCACCCCCTACTAGAGTGGTCCATTTGTCAGAACTGATGACCCTGCACGGATAATTTTCTCATCAACAAGAGTCTTTAGTTTATGTTAGGGCTCCTTCTTGATATCGTATATTCCGTGGGCTTAGACAAATTCATAATGACGTGAATCCACCTTTATAATAACACACAGAGTAGTTTTGCTGTTTTCACTAAAATTTTTGTGTGGCCTGCCTATTCATTCCTTCATGCTTTGGAAACCACTGATCTTCTTACTGTCTCCATAGTTTTGCCTTTCCAGAATGTCATGTAGTTGGAATCATACATATGTGACCTTTTCAGATTCTTCTTTCACTTAGTAGTAGGCTTCTAAGGTTCCTCTATGTCTTTTCATGACTTGGAAGAGCTTTTTCTGTCAACACCGAATCATATTCCATTGTCGAATGTACCACAGTTCGTTAACACATTCACCTACCAAAGGACACCTTGGTTGCTTCCAAGTTTTGGCAGTTCTGAATAAACCTCTTGATTTTTTTAAAAGGTAGGATGACCCTTAAGTTGCTTTATTTTCAGTACATTTCTCCAAAGAGCATGCAAAGTTTAGTTTGACTATTAAGCACCCGATTATTTTCCAAAGAAAAAGCCTGCATTTATGTAACTGTCAGAAAGTAAATTTTTCGTGCTTACATAATTTTACTAGTTATACTTGTTTTTAACTAAGGTAATGTATCTGGTTGTTTATATTTTTTCAGTTAGTTTAGAAATGATCTGTATTCTTTATTTTTAAAAAATTATGCCCAGGTTGTGTAGTTTAAAACTGAGGAAAACAAAGCTTTATTATTTGGAAATGCAGTGGTGGTAAAAATAAACAAGAGCTAGGAAATGACCACACCACAAAAACCAAGATAGATGTTATTCAGTGGAGAGAGAAGGAGTACTGTGGAAGGGGTATGTGGGGAAGGATCCAAGGGGCAGGTGGTCTAGTTCTTGCCCTGGTGGGTTCATTCGTGTTTACAATATTCATTCAATTGGACATATGTGTTTTATATGTCCAGTTGAATGAGTATTATAAACACTGATGATACGTTTTATTTCATAGCTTTAAAATTACTTGAACAGCAACCTATAATCTATCTTTCTAAATTATGTAAAGTTCTCAAATATGAATTTCATTAAGGATTATGCAGTATAGACACATAAAATTATGAATCATTAATTCTCTTGAAATTTTCATTTGAGTCCTTCTTCGTACAGATTGAGTTGCTTGAACTGGAGTGGATTTTCAAGATCATTTAGATAAATCTCCTAGTTTTACAGTTAAGGAAATTGAGGCCCATCAAGGAGGCATTTGAGTTGAGTGGAGAAATTGCATAAATTAAAATCAAAGTATTTAATTGTGAAGCCCAGAAAAGGAAGAAATAAGGAATGAATAATTTACATAGATTTTAATAAGATATTTTAATTTTTAATTGTGGAACTTGATTTTTAATAACAAATTAAATGTAATTTAAAAATTGTTTTTGTAGGATGGCAGGAAATGGAACCACTGCTTTCTTTGCAAAAAGTGTGTAAAGCCTTGTAAGTATTGAGACTTAGTGTTTGAGATCCTATGAAAACATAGAGTTTTTCTCCAAGTAGGATTTGTATTTAGTTGTATTTATAAAAGAAAAAATAATAAATGTAGAGACCTATAGTAATTTATTTGCTTTTTATTTTTTGAGTCAGGGCCTCATTTTGTTGCCCAGGCTAGAATGCAGTGGCATAATATGGCTCACCACAGCCTCGACCTCCTGGGCTCAGGTGATCCTTCTGCCTCAGCCTCTCGAATAGCTAGAACTACAGGCAAACACCACCACATCTGTCTAAGTTTTTAATTTTTTTTTTTAAAGAGACGAGGTCTTGCTATGTTGCCCAGGCTGGTCTTGAACTCCTAAACTCAAGAAGTCTTCCTATTTCAGCCTCCCAGAGTGTTGGGATTACCGGCATGAGCCACCATGCCTGGCCAGTTTATTTGCTTTATAATTTTACAGTTACCAACATGGTACAGGGAAAGATGACTGCTGCCCTCTTTCAGTGTGGCATTTGGCTTGCCTTATTTTAATAGGATTTTGTGTCACTCAGCCAGCCTCCGTTGTGGCAGTAGCTGTCAGCTCATGATTCATTGGAGAAGGACTGAATCTGTTGCCATGTAACAGAAAGCAGTTAGCTAGTTTATGTGGAATTCTAGCCTCTTCACCTTGGTCTCTTTAGCCAAATTAAAACTAGTTATGTAAACCAGCCACAATATTTGAAGTAAACACTATTTATGTATCCTACCTTAAAAGTTAATAAAATGAAAAGTTATATTAGGTGAACTTCTTTTAAGACAATTTTTATTTTACAGCCTGGATCCACTGTAGCATTTGCAATCACTGTGCTCTTCCGGATCATTCTTGCAAGGACCCTAAAGATGGCTGCTTCATTTGTGGTGAATTAGGTCACAAACGTAGTACTTGTCCTAACATCTCTACATCTAAAAAAGCTAACGAGTTAGTCAAATTTTTTTATTTACTAGAAACAAATTGTTCTTGTGTGCTTTGTACAATGTAATCCACAAAACCATGCTGCATTGAGAAGATTCTGATGCACTAAATTAATTGTAACTTTCACTATGCTGTACTGTCTGCATAGACTGGGGGGGGGAATGAGAAGATGAGTCCAAGAGATTACTTTCAGGGAGCTTACAATCTTACGGGTTAAACACGGAAATAACCGGAGAGGGAGGTAGCAAGGGGTTAGCGTCACATCTCCTGTGGCTCATGGAAAGCTGTTATTTGTGGGATGAGAGTTCAGGCCTTAGTGAAGGACATGGTATTCAAGTCAGACTTTGAGGACAGGTCAGACAGAGATACCTGATGGCAGCAAAGGCTGGAAAAGGCATAGCAGAGGGAATGTCTGACTCCATGGTAATTCTGCAGTAGTCTAGTCGTAAAATGAGGTCACTAAAAATTATATCAGATTTCAAGAAAAATATTTAGACATGCTTACTGCTTAAATATTTGAATCTTATGACTTTTTAGTGATTATTTTCACTTCTCCCACCAATATTTGATTATAACTATTGATTACAACTCAGAGAAAAGTTAAACCAATGACAATAGCATATGTAGAAAAGCCATTACTATTTCAACTGGGCTGATTTGAATGATTATACTTTTTTTTTAACTAAAAGGGATGATAGAGATTAAGTCTTCTTGTTTTATTGATAAGAAAACTTTACCTAATGTCACATCACATAGTTATTAATTGCAAATTACCAAATAGCCAAATTTAACATTATGTGAAAATTAAGATTAGGATAAAAATGTTGGGCTATCATAAGATTTGTGATGAAAAAGTATTGATTAGTATTAGAAATGCTTTATTTATGATAATATTAGATTTCTTTACCATTTACTTATTTTTGTCCATGAAAATTATTTTTTTTCCATTAAGGTCTAGCCACTTGAATTCTGCCTACTACTAAAACCGCCTCTTTCATAAATTTACACTACTTCAAATAATTATTTCCACTAAGTAATCCAGAACAGAAGTAGAGTTTTTTCAAGTTAACGTAAGAGACATGTTGAATAATCTTATACAGTATTTTTCCTTAGAAACTTTCATGAATGGAATGCAATCTCAGAAACTTACTGGTCTGGAATTGTTGCACCATTTGCAGTGTAATTCTGGGTGGAAACAGGAATTAGTAACATGCTCGGCCTTTAATTCTGTGAATATACGTGGGAATGAAGTTGTGTTTTGGTAATAAATATAGGCCCTTTATTGCTTCCTAAATAGCTCCAGCTAGTCTGTTTGGTAGAAATATATTGTTTTCATTGGGGAAATAATCTAGTATCTTTCAGTACTAGATTTTATCAAGTTTAATTCCAAGAGCAAATCCCTTGAGATGTGGATGCCTGATAATTCTTAAATGGTTTTACTTTCTTCCCAGGGATGACTCTTAAACTCCTGTTAACAGTTATTGCTTTCAAGAAAAATGTATAATGAAATTGACAAGGCAAAATTATCTTTTCTTTACAATAATAAAAAATAATTTTAATAGCCTTTTTAGCATACATGGCAGAAAAGGTCTTCCATCTTATCTTAATTTGTTTTTCTTGAGTGTTAATATTTTTCTTTGGTTGTGAACTGGAATGATGCTGGCTCCCTCTTGTGGTTAAAGCTCATTTTATCAGTTACATAAATACCTATAATTTAGAGGACAGATACTAGGTCAATTTAATTTGAAGGCAAAATAAAATAATTAATTGACTTATAGTCAATCAGTTTATCACAGTTCAAAGTCTTTATTCTAAGAAAGTTTTGTATATTCATATTACAAATGAGTATTTTTAAATATTTCCCTTCTGTTTTTGTTTATTGTATCCCCTAGTGAAATCTGCTGCATTTTTTCCCTCCAATTATGAGTGGATGAACCAAAGAAAAATTCAAGTTTTGCATATAGGCACATATGGCTTCATTGGCTTTACCATTAGAGATTATACTATACTTCACTAAATTTGCTAAATCATCACTTATCAAGAAACTATCCTATGTTAAAAAACTGGCAGTGGGAAAGAGATTTATATAACATGTATGCATCAGTGTAAAGATGCCTACTTTATTTGGACTGATAGGGTATCCGAGTCCACACTGCAAAATCTAAATATGGAAAAATGTAAAGTTGTTAAGTATAAGTCTACATAATGGTCATGTGGAACTACTACTAATAGTTAATATTCTTGGGTAATTACTCTTGGGTAGCATTTTGCATATCTGAATATTTTATAGCAGAGCTTATAGTATCAGGTTGATTCAGAACATCGAGCTGGTTCTGCCACTTCCTCAAGGGATGGTCATGGATTTCAAAGCCCCAGTTTCTTCACCTGAAATGTTCTGAGGTGAAGGGTTGATGTCTGCATTGTCCCTGTCTCCCACTCCTTGAAGTCAGAGATTATGCTCATTTACTTTTGTATTCCCTACATGTAATATATATGTTTAGTGAATAAGAAATGAGGCATAATTCGACCCATGAGGGGATGTACTGTTTATGAATCTCTTTTCCCAGGTTTTGTCCTGGGAAGATCAAGTATAAGCTTTTCCCTGGGAAAAGAGTGAGTGAATCTAATGAGTCATATTGCTGGATAGCCAGGGGAAGTGTCCAGGTTTGCCAGTGCTGTTAGCCCCAACCTGTTCTTTAGTTTTTGCTTTGTTTTGTTTTGAATGGAGAAGAGGTCTCTCTGTGTTGCCTAGACTGGTCTTAAATTCCTAGGCTCAAGCAGTCCTCTTGCCTCAGCCTCCCAAAGTGCTGGGATTACAGGTGTGGTCCACCACACTCAGCCTGTTCCTTGGTTCTTGATACAATAAGTGGTATGATTCTGCTAGCTTGGAGAAAGTGAGTGGATGGGCCAGTAATCTTTCCCAGCTACAGGTTGCCTGTAACTTAGTACAGAGAATACCAGAAACTTTTACTTTCTGTAAAAGTAAAAAGGATCTATTTTGCTGGTATGTTCATATTTTTAGGGGATGAATTCTAGCTTGTTCATTTTGAAGCTAGTCTTTAAGAAGATAGGGACCCCTGTGTGACACCTGTCAGGACTTTTAGATGTACTCTAGGATTTATTAAATGGGCCCTTTCAAAGGTTGCTAGCTTTTTTCAATGTGCTCTTTTTGTTTTTTTCTGTATTTTTTTTTTTTTTTTAACCTCTGGTAACTGCTGAATGCATCAGTCCCTCTCCTAAAAAATGTAGCTCAGGGATTTGGAGATTGAAGTGCTGAGCTGAGCAGGACAGATGTACCAAAAAAACCAAAACAAAACAAAACAAAAAATAACCAAACAGACTCCCTGGCTGTGCTATTTACCTCTGCAGTGTGTTTGTCCCAAATAGCTTGTTCTAAATTTGTAATAACTGTTTTTTAAAGAAAATTTTGTCCTCAAATATTTTGCTTGGTCAGGCATCTGTTTATTTCCTTGTTGTTATGGTTAGGATACTGAGGATTTATGCCTGCAATATAGGAAATTCTTTCCCTTCTTCTATTTTCTTATGTGGTTAGCTAGTTAATTAAACTTCAGCATAATTACATGATTCACTGTGTTTATTCTATAAAATAATTTAGCACCTTGTTTTTCAGAGCTGTCAAAAAGCAGAAGCAAAGAAAAAGTAATAAGATGAAAATGGAGACCACGAAAGGACAGTCTATGAATCATACATCTGTTACAAGGAGAAAGAAAAGGAGGGAAAGAGCCCATCAATATCTTTGCTCTTAAATGTCCAGTGACTTGAAAAGAAGAAGATTTATCGTCCAACCTTTGATGCCATTTTCTGAAAGTGCCACCCTGGACTGAAATTCAGTGGCTTTCAGAGGCCTGTACCTTTCTAAGCTAGATGATGGGGCAGGTGGCATTTGCTGGCTCTTAGGCCTGCCTCCACCTCTCTGGGGACTAGGGAGCTGTTCCTTCCTCAGCAATTCTGCTCATTCTCTCGGCATGCCTTTTGCCTCTCTTTAAGTCTCTCCCAATCATATGATTTTAGCTTCTTTTATCTGAAACATGGACACAAAACATTCTTTTACAGAAGATGACAGAAGAAAATGAAAGTGGAAACCTATGAAGTTTTATTTACATTGAACATAAAAGTATGCTAATTTAAATATGGAAATATTTTATGTTAAATATTAAACAATAGTTTAAACCCCAGTTGAAAATTACCATGTACGATTATTTTTGGACTTAATCTGAAGATGATGGAATTTTTATAAAGACACTGTAAAGTATAAAGATTATAATTATATTAAAATTTATTTTCCAAGTACTTTTTGCTGTGGTCCTTTGTTGCCTAGAAGTACTTAAATGTTTGTTGAGTGAATGAGACATTTGGAATAATGACTGGCTTGTCATTCCAGTGTCTCTTAACTTATGCAGTATGTTTCTTTCTTGGTAAAAGTAGTCAGTAGCAGACAGGAGGATAGTTTGGTAATTAAAACCCTCATTCCTATCCTGACTAACATTTCCTGGCTGTATGGCTGTGGCCAGGTCACTCACTCTCTAAAAGCCCCAGATTCTGTATTATTATAACTGGCAGAATAAAAGCTTTACCTCAGGTTCGTTTCTGTGATTAACTTAAATGACATCCATGTGCCTGGCTCTCAATTCTTCTCTCATCTGTGAATTACATAATAAATGAAGATTGCTACTGAGGCCTAATGGTAATGATCTGTTGGCCCCACAGCATGGCACTAAAGGGAGAAGTTCGAATTCCCGGAACAAACAGTTCATCTTCCCATTTCTCTGCTAGGTAACTGACATCATCTCCTTTAGATGGAATCATTTTGAATGACTTCCATTTGCCTAATGACTTTTCTCTTGTTCCCAAACAACTGCAATAAAGCAGTTTTGGCGGCGCCTTTGCTTGGGATTCGAGCCCTGTGAGTGAGGAGAGAGAAACTGCACCCCACCTGGTATGTAAATTCCAGGTAAACTGGGACTGTTTGGTGTGAGATGTGGCCCAGATCGGTGTGGTATGGTGTTCATCAGGTGACGTCAAAAGATGAGTCACACTCCTGGGCTTCATAAGCCTCAGAAAGCTCTTGTCCCCTTTGTTACGTAGATTGTTGTGACAGGATTTAGAATGACTGGGTGAGATATGAGCTTTGTGAAAACATTGTGTGTTTCCCTTTCCGATTCAAGCTTGGATAGGCACATTGCCTTTCTTCTATGGTGTTTACCATGCCATGGTAAAATCTATTGAAATTTCTGAAACTTAGACATCCAAGTCATCTTCATGATGACTGAATAAGTGGGTTCTGATGGCCAAGAGTTATTGTTATCACCATATATACTTAATTTTAAGATATCATCAATTGTAAAATATGCCACTGATTTTTTTTTTTTTTTTTTTTTTTTTTGAGTCAGAGTCTCACTCTTTTGCCCGGGCTGGAGTTCCTGGCTAATTTTTTTATTTATTGTAGAGACAAGGTCTCACCAAGTTGCCCAGGATGATGTCGAACTCCCAGGCTCAGGCAGTCCTCTTGACTCAGCTTCCCAAAATGGTGGGATTACAGGTTACCTATCTTCCTCATACTGTACTGCTCTACATTTAAAACCTGTGTTAGGGTAGTCCTCATATGGACTCTAAATCCCATCCAATATTGTTTACATCTGTTTTCCTTTTTTCAGTCTTTAGCAGAAACAGAAAAGAGCAAGTCTTCTCAATATCTTAGGCATGCCTACCACTTCAAAGCCTCTTCAAAATTCCATCCTTTCATCAAACTTTTATTGAGCACCTACAGGGCACTAGAGACATGAATGGATACAATGGGTACTGACATTAAGAAACTTAAGTCTTTGGGGGGGGGATATAAAATCTGTAAAAATCATCATGGAATAATATGTGAAAGAGCCTAAAATGTGGTGCAGAGCACTAATGGATTCAGAGAAGGAGGCATTGGTTAGTATCAGGGACTTATGGAAGACTTCCCAAAAGAGAGCAGGATTTGAGCCAGGCCTGACGTCTGCAAGATGGCAACAGATGGCCATATGAAGGGACATCTTCTAAGCAGGAAGAATAGTGTAGGATGAAAAGAATGGGGCATATGGAGAAATTAATTAGTCTACATGTCAGACTCGTATAGAAAAAAACCTGAAATCTTAATCATTGAGGGCCTACAGAAAGGTTTTATGTTTCATTAAATTTTTTAATATAAGTAAGAAACAATGGAATTTAGCTGTAATTATTTGGGGGAAATGTCCTTTTAAAAAGCTTAGAAAGTTTTATGTGTCCAATTTCAGGGATTTTCTCATGCTGTTTTGAGTTGGTATCTTAATGTTCAGATATGCAGCTTTCTAGTAAGAACAACAGACCCCATCTTCCTTCACATTCTACCTCCCAGAGACACATTTTTATATCCTACTGACAAGTGTACTCTCCGATAAAAGAATAGAGATTGAGTCTTTAAAATTAGAACTGACTATAAGTACAAAATCACCAAATGTCCTATTTTTAACTTTCTAAGAAGGTAACAAAGTTTTAAAGTACATTATTCCTGACTCTATCACCTCAATTCTAAGATGTATGTTTTTTGCCTTTCTGAAATCAGATAATGTAAAAAGTAATATGTCCAATTAGTGAAGTATTCTCTTTCAATAGTGTGGGCCGGGTACAACATGGTGAGACCTCAACTCTACAGTAAATCAAAAAGTTAGCTGGATATGGTAGTGCACGACTGTAGGTCTGGCTACTTGGAAGGCTGAGGCAGAAGGATCGCCTGAGCCCAGCAGGTCGAGGTTGCGGTGGCTGTGAGCGTGCCACTGCACTCCAGCCTGGGCGATGGAGTGAGACTCCAACTCAAAAAAAAAAAATTAGAAATAGAAAACCACATCCCGCAAAGAGTCCTGGTCTGCTGCCACCTCCTTCACAATGCCCTTGTTTTGGTCTCTCCAATGGACTAGTAAGTACACCTCGTCCAGTGAAGTAAAAATACGTGTTTTTAAAATTGTATACATCTTTTAAGGCACTTAAGTCATGCCCCGTATTACAATAACTTTATATTTGTCTATCCCTGTACAGATTGGAAGCTCTTTGATGGCTGGGGTCTGTGGACATCATTGTGTTTGCTTACTGGAGCTTCAAGAGCTGTGCCTGATGCTGGTGATGTCAGAGATGACTAACTGCATTGCGTATAACCTCAGTCAGTGGGAGGCAGGCAGCCAGGCCAACCCAATGCTTCTCCCTCTAGGTGGTAGGTGATCATAAATGCCAACTGACTGAATGGAAATGCCATTTAATATACTGCTTTATGCCTCGAAAGCCTAGCTGTGCTACGTGAGTAAGTAGCTAATACACTTAGAGCTGCCTGGGTATGGACAACTTCCACTAAATGCAAAGGAAAATCCTATTTCACTTATTTGATGTGAATTTAATTGGACCATTAGGGCATGGGTTAAATTACTTGAGGGTCAGCTAGAAGGTCACTGCAATAAAGTGAAGATAAGAGCTCTACTATTTGATTTCAGGTGATTTAGTACAAATGTTAACTCAGCGGGATTGAGGAAAATAGCCCCAGAAGCGAGCAAGAAGATCTCAGAGCTCTTAGACGTGAGGTCCCCAGGCTGTTCAGTTGCTTGATACCACTGCAAACTGGAAGAGTATAAGACTAGGGATCTTTGAGAAACTAAGCATCAACAGATGGACCAGGTGTATGGGGTGCAGAGTGGGGGAATGCTAGAGGAAGTCAATCCAGCATTCTATTCTACATGCTCAAAGAAGACATGGAAACAAATGTGCTGCCTGGTAACCGGACAGCCAATACTCGAGCTAGGCAAACCCAGGGACAAGTGAAAGTATCCCACCACCCAGGATAATCACTGTTACAACTTCCCTGTGTATTCTTCCAAAGATAATAGAGACAGACATACGGTAAGATTTTTCCCACAAAGATGGAATTGTAAGCACATACTGTTTTGGGATCCATACTTTTTCATACATTATGAACATCAATTTATGACTCTAATAGTAGTCAAGATGGATATATCATATTTAAAAAAAATTCAACTCCTATAGTTGAGCATCTAGGTGGTTTGCATTTTTTCTCTGTTGTAAACAACCCAGTGACGAACATACTTACAAGTCTTTTTAATTTTCTTGGGATAAATGCATAGTTATTTCACATTAATTAGCATGCAATTATTAATGTGATGAATATTTTTATTATCACATAACATGCTATTAGTATGTAGTTATTATATAATATAGTTATTTAATATGTAGTAACAGTTACACATTAATATATGCATACTTCCTGTACAAATGAATATTGGTTCTATAGCTCTTATTAAAACCTCTTTCTTAAAATTGAAACCTCAGCTGGGTGCAGTGGCTCAAGCCTATAATCCCAGCACTATGGGAGGCAGAAGCAAGAAGATTACCTGAGCTCAGCGGTTCAAAACCAGCCTGAGCAACATGGCGAGACCTCATCTCTACCATAAGATAAAATAAAAATTGGCCAGGTGTGGTGGCACATGCCTGTGGTTCTAGCTACTTGGAAGGCTGAGATGGAAGGATCACCTGAGCCCAGTGGTCGAGGCTGCAGTATCTGTGAGGATGCCACTGCACTCCAGCCTGGGCAACAGAGTGAGACTCTGACTCAAAAAATAAATAAATAAATTTAAGCCTCATGAGTTAGCCTCTGCATTTCTTTCCTAGAACAGCAACTGAAGCAATTATGGGAGACAAACAAAATACCGTATTGATGGGTGTAGGTTCACTGCCAAGATGGGACATCTCTCGACTTGCGAAATGGGCTTTGTGCTTCAGACTAGCCCCTGAATAGTTGTGATTGGTATATTGAACATCATTGATTGCTTCGGCAATATCATTCCAACCCCTCCCCATGGTGAGCCTGCAGCAGGATTTGGGGGTGGTGGGATGACATCCTCTTCTGCTCTTGGAAATAACTTTTTTTTTTTTTAATCAGGCTAAGTCAACATAATTCTATCAGCAATTCTGGCTAGACTTCAGATAAGGGCGGGCCTAATCACAGGCTCTGGACCTGGCTCCTAGTGGCGAAGAGGGGTTCCTTCTCTCTGGATGAGGAAGCATGCAGTTCCAGTTGCTGTTTATATTCTGCCAGGGACCACATGGGGAGTCAGCCATATTGTAACTGAAACTTAGGTTCAGCTCCTCCGCTGGAAGGACAAGGGTTGGTGTAAGGAAAACAGGTTTACTCAAGAATTAACAACCTGAGGAGATGGTGGGCTAATGTCTCAAGCATCTCAAGGCTGTACAGATCTCAGGGTTTTTTTTATGTTAAGGGCAAGGGAAAGAGGAGGGGGTTGGGAAGCTTCTTTGTCCTTGGTCAGGCCATAATGTTCCTTCAAATCTTTAACAAAACATAGTGCCCATACTCCCCTTGTTCTCAAAGTTAGTCTTGACAGCTGCATACTTGTTCTTACCTTATCTTTTTCAGTGTTTCAAAATTATTCTAGCCTACGTGCAGGCATGAACAGGCTAGAGGACTTCACCTCCAGTCTAAAATGGAGTTAGTTATGTGAGCTTTTTGCTGTTTCACTGTTATAGTTTTTCTACTTCAGAAATGTTTCTGGAAACTGCTCCACCACCCCTGCTAGTCTTCCTGCCATCTTTACACCTCTGGCCCTTTCCTTTTTAGCCTACCACCATCCTCATCACAGAATTGAGGCCCTGAGTAACCAGTGAACCCATGTGATTCTGGTCACGCTCTTGGTCTCTGTTGGCAGTTTCTTGACCTAACCCGGCACTGCTGTAAAAAGACACCGCTAAGCTAGCCCAAGGGGTGTGGGGATCAGAGAAATAGCATACTAACCAAAGTTACTGCCAGAAAGGGAGTTCCTGCCATTTTTGCTCGAACACTAGGAACAGGGTATGCAGAGCATGGAGGTATTAAAGGCCTGGTTTCTCTTCCATTTGCTCCTTGCACCGTCCCATTCTCAATATATATGTATGATGGGGAAATTTATTTATAAAAATTGTGTATTCTTACCTGTTAAGACTTCAGTCACCTTCAAAGAAATCTCCATTTGATGCAATACACCTACAGAGATGTCTTCTTTTCTTTTCTTTTTTTGAGTTGGACTTTTACTCTGTCACCCAGGCTGGAGTACAGCGGCACACTCATGGCCACCACAGCCTCGACCTGCTGGGGTCAGGCGATCCTTCCGCCTCAGCCTTCCAAGAAACTGGAACCACAGGTGTGTGCCACCATGCCCCACTAATTTTTTTTTAATTTACTGTACAGATGAGGTCTCACCAAGTTGTCCAGGCTGGCCTTGAACCCGTAGGCTCAGGCAATCTTCTTGCCTCAGCCTCCCAAAGATTGGGATTACAGGTGTGAGCCACTGCACCAGTTTAGAGATGCTTTCTCTACTGCTCAAAACAGTTTCTGAACTTGTCCACTTTGATGCTTTTTTGATACTTCTGCTGGTTTTTTGTTTCATCTCTTCATCAACAAAATGTGTCCTATTGAGGACTTTTTTTTATCAGAAGAAACAAACAAACAAAATCACTCGAAGTGAGATCAGGTAAAGAGAGAGAGTGGGGCATGGGGTCATGCCGTTTGGGGTCAAAGACTGCTGAACACCATGTGATGTGGGCAGGTCTGTTGTCATGGTGGAAGAACCCGCCACCTGTTTGCCACAACTCGGGATGTTTCTTCCACAAATCATGACGCAACCTTCTCAAAACTTCCAGATAAAACCTTCGGTTGACCATTTGATTCAGAGGAACAAACTCTAAATGTACTACAAAAGGCTCGCCCACCAAAAGGTGATTCTGGGGTTTTTTTGGTCTCTCCTCCGATGTCTCTTTCAACCTCCTGCCCTTACCTTCTTAGGAGGCAGTGATGCCCCATCCCTGGGCTTTCTTTCCCTTTCCTCTTTATTCTGAGCCACAAAAGCACAAGTGACCCGATCTGATAACCTGGTATTTTCCTCTGGATGGGGAGGGCAAAGAAACAGGAAGGGTGAAGCCAAAATCTCCTTTATGGGGCAGTGGGAAAATAAAAGTTGATGACACTGCATTAACAGCTTTTGTCCGATGGCTACTTGAAATGATCCCTCACTCCCCACCAACAGGCCTGAGATACTGTAATAACTTAAAATTATTCAGCTTCCTGCCCACATAGGAAATCCACACCTATGCTGTTCCCTGTGCTGTAGGTACTCTAGGAAATTGGGACTCTTCCCTGAAGCTTAATGTGCAGGTGTTTTGCAGTCCTTTGTAGCACTGTGTTTATACCCCCAGGACCAGTCATTTCCACATGTTGTGTGGGGGCTCACATTCAGGATGAGGTCCAGGGAAATGGGCATTCAATTTCCATAAGAATGCTAAGTGGATAGATACTGGACTGCCGCCATCCAGATTACCCATCATTCCCACCCCAAAACATTACCTGAATAGCAAAAGCAAATCCGGGGTGCCGTGGCTACAGTCTGTAATCCCAGCACATTGGGAGGTGGAGGTGAGAAGAGAGAGGGTTCAAGACCAGCCTGGGCAACTTGGCAAGACCTTGTTTCTACAATAACCAAAAAAATTAGACGGGCATGGTGGCACATGCCTGTAATTCCAGCCACTAGGAAGGACGAGGCAGAAGGATCACTGAGTCCAGCAGGTGGGTGCTGTGGTAGCCATGAGTGTGCTACTGCACTCCAGCCTAGGCATCAGAGTGAGACCCCCCAACTCAAAAAAAGAAAAAGAGGCAAATCCATTTTTGCCTTAGAAATGTTGAATCTGGAAGAATTTGGGGGACATGTTAAGTTGCTCACAGCAAAGGCAAGGGTTGCAAAGGTCCACCTCTGAGAAGGCAAGCAGCAAGGAGAGGGTTAAGAACAGTCCCTGGCACAAAAGAGCTACCTGAATATTTGTTACTGAATGAATTAATCTATATCTATCACCTACTTCTCAGAGGCTAGATCCAGACAGAGGGCAGGAGGATGGGGCTTCTTCTTGAAAGCTGAAAGTCCTGCTGCCTCTTTGTCCTGTAAACAAATGAAAGGCAGATGGCTTTCAGATTTTAAGTTCAAGAATCAACAATGGTCCTGTTACATTCTCTCAGACTGGGTCATAGGTGTGAGAACTGGTGAACATATTGACTCATTTAAACTTGTCCTGTATAAAGGAGCATCAGATGGGTTCTGATTTACATGTTGTCTGCCATTCTGGTCTCGGAGCCTTTTGAGCAGAGACCGTGGCCCACACATTCAAGTACCACACGTTCTTTTACAGAGTAAATGCTCATATAGCTACAGAGTAAATCGTGGGTGAGCCCGCCGTCCTTATTTATAATAATGGGGCTACTACTATCAGTAAGTTGGGAGACTTAAATTGGATGAAGAATCAAAGTATTGTTTGCCGATGTCAGGGAGGTTTTAGGGCAGGTTCCCCTTCTCCCCAAATTGGAATCCCCTAATATTAAATACTGGGCCATCATGTTAATTTTCTTTTAATTGATCTTGAGTGCTGTTTGGACAGAGGGACTTCTAAAACTCTAGTGAGTGGCTGGGCGCGGAGACTCAACGCCTGTAATCCCAGCACTTTGGGGAGACCGCGGCGAGAGGATGACTTGAGGCCAGGAGTTGGAGACTAGCCTTGGCAACACAGAGACCCCTGTCTCTACAAAAATAATAATAATAATAACAATTCTACTGAGCAATCAGGACTGACACGAGAACTACCGTTTTAGACACTGTCAAAGGAGGCTCCAGTTGATCAGGACCTGAATCTTACATTCTTTTTCGCCTCCCTGTCATCCTGTCGCCTCTGAACCTGTACTTGTCCCTTCGCCCACAGCAGCGAATACCTGGGAAAACGGAAAAGGTCTGCAGGCATGCCCACACAGGTGTATACACCCCTTGCCCCGTCTTTCCGGGTCTAGGCGCCGAGCGCCCACGCCCGCATCCGGGTGCAGCCCCCAGCACCCCTG